AATGATAATCCCTACTTTAACTGGCCAGCTCCAATAGCAGCAATTTCTCCAGAGTTTAGTATGCTTCAGTGTATTTCAACACTACTTAACACATAAATCCAGTGCATATATGTCTATATTAACTATAGAGGCCTCTATACATGTGAAGTATTTACGAAAGTATATCCAGTTAAGAATTCCTTTTGTTTGAAGTAAAAAAAGTGCTAGTTCAGTGATAGAACCCCCAACCTGCAGCACCAGTGGAAGCTCTTTTTGAATTGATAAACAATGGAAAATCAAAGTAAATTCTTATTGAAAGAGTAAATGAACAGAATTGGTAACAAATCCTAGGCCATTCGAGAGGCCTGGTCTCTCCCCCTTGACTGTGCAACATACACGTGAATGAAAAATTCCTAACCCCCAACTCTCCATTTATAAGCAATCCCTACTTGACTTATTACATTTTTTACCCTACTAACTAACTATTGAACCTTCTAGATCAACAAAGATGTGGTAGCAACCGTGTGAATCGGTTTGGTATCTATCATTTAGTTGAAGAACCATGAACGATATGCAGCTGTCCGCCTGTCCCTCCTTGAGCAAGCCTTGTAACCTATTTCTCAATTCCAAGTACAGTCAAATTGGAATGCCAAGACCAGCAAATCACCCGTCTTTACATATGGTATTCACAGATGCAGGCCAAAAATTGTATGGTGCAAGTGTTGAATAGATTTTGATTTATTTTTGGATTTTTTGGATTTTAGTTCTCTAGGGAACTAGTCCAGAAAGTTTTAGATAAATTTTCTTCTGTGCAATGTCTTCTAGCCCTTAAATTTGGCTCAATTTTATGCTCAATTTGCCCCTCCAAATCAGCTTTATTTAATAGAATTGAGTTTCTCTAACATGCCTTCCAGATCCACAAATTCCTATTTGATTCTAGGATGTGAACTAAAAACAAAGATTTCCCTCCCCTCTCTTCACACTTCTGCTCCATCACCTAACTAGCTAGTACGTGCAGACCTTCTTAAGGGTTCCAAAAATATAAATCAAGTGATTGAATGTCCTCTACAAGTGAGGCCAACCCAGCTAGAGTCAAATCCCATTTCAATCTTCCACACCTTAATATGCTTGCAAAGAAACCCATGTCACAAGAAATCTTCTATCCTAACTCCTCGGTTTCAGTATAGAAATATGATAGATCAGTAATTACAAATGGCAAGAGCTCAAATAAAGTAGTAATGGTGATTACTGTCGCACTTTTGAGCAGCTGGTGCATGAAGCATCCGAATTTTTCTTTTTATTTTTTTAGAAATGCACATTTTCATCAAGACTTGAATGCAAATACAAAGTTTACCACGGAGCTTAGACTGAAAAATATTTTGTCTGTTCTCCTTAGGACATCTAGTAATTAGTAGCTAGTGCCGAGCTGTTATGTTACCCAGGCATAAAGCTAAATTAAGTTGAAAAATACTATTGATAAGAAGTGCCTCACTGTATTTTCAAATACACAAGTCTTGGAGAGAATTACTTTTTTGGATCCAAAAAATGTAGCTTTTCCTCTTCATTTTTTTCAGCAGAAGTTATAAAACTAATAATGCGTCTTAATCGCATTTACAACACTTTGAAAATTGACTGGGAGTTGAATGATCGTCCACTTAAAATTTGTGGAACCCAAACCAGGTGTCACTATGAACTAACTTTAAAAATGTTCCCTGAAGTTAGTTATCAATAAATACATGCTTTTCATTTATTAAGCCGGAACAAATCCCTAGATTCCAATTCAGAGGAGTGATCCATATCACCATTGAGACCACCTAGAAAGGTTATTAACACAATAAATGAACTTTGCTAAATTCCATGGAATCAATTCTTACCAAAACTAGAAAGGTTATTACCATAATAAGAACTGACGACAAGACACAGAGATTTACCTGTGACATATACTCTACAAATAATCATCTAGAGCCAACTCATTACATCATCACAGGATATAAAAAGCAGACAAGAAGAATCAGGAACAATTTCAATTTCAATTTGCATGGCCTAGTTTGTTTGGATCAGTTTTCAGGTAAGACTTTGATTCTACAATTTTCCATTTTTATTTTGTTCAAGTGAGATAGGTCACTTAATAAAAAAGTGAAATAAAAAATTAAAAAAGAAGAAATTAACCCTATACCTCCCTCTCCCTACCTCTTTATCTATTCCTCCTCCATGCCATAACAACTCAAAACTAATGAAAGAAGTATAATGGAACAAAAAAGCATTGCCACCGCTAACAAAGTAGTATAACTGAAAAAACAAAATACCACTAAAATATATTCCACAACCTCCAGCAGAAAGAATGCAACTTCAAGTTGATATAGTAACACATAACATAAATCCAGATGTTCATCAAATTATTGTTTGCATACTGACCTAGTGCCAGCATAGTGCCGTGAACGCCTGGCAATTAAAGTCAGCTTGAAATCATGCCCTGATATAGAAATTGTAGCCTGGATTCCCAAGCATAAAGAAATTAACAAGCCATCAAATTTTTAATGTTTGCTCTCAAATGCATAGTTGGCATTATATAAAAACTAGTATTTAGAATAATCAAAGCCAAAGACTAGCAACCACATTCCATAATTTGGGCAAAGAAAATTTTTGAAACACAATAAGTCGTGTAGGCAGTGCAGAAACCTTACCTGCTTAAAAAATCCATAGACTAATGCAACGGTCCAAATAGTATTCTGAAGAACATTGTGTATTCCACGAGTAAGAAACTCGTTCCACACAAACATCGTTCCATACAGGACTTGCCCGGTTTCATTATCACACATGTTCTTCTGGAGACTCCTCATCACATGGTAGGAGTAACTAAAATAGAAGTCCTTAGTCAGATCCACCATGCACAAGAGCTTCTTGTATCTATACAACCATCAAATCGAAAAGCAGTCATTAGTAAAGAAATTATCCTGCAAAGAAAATTAACACTTACGGTATAAGACTATCATATTCATCTTTAGCTGTCCAGCAAATATTGCTCATTATAGAAAATCAAAAATTAAGGAAAAATTAGATGCAGAGGAAACTCATGGTCAGACTGATTTTTTAGCAGAAGTTTGCTGAATAGACTGGAATTTTATTCTTCTTTATGACTATATGGAAGTGGAACCCCATATGGAAGAACTGGGACTAAATGACGATATTTGACAAAAGCAACTTCATTAATTAAAGCGACTGAATTAAGAGTAAGGAACGACCTGTTCTCATTCTTGTAATTAACCATGCTGGATCTAACCACAGAATTCTGAAGGGGGATTATTTCACTTTTGGAGATAGCATATACAATGTGACCGCAGATTGAACCGATCTGTCTTCTTTTTGTAATAAGTAGCATGTAATAAGGACCAAGAAATTTAATGAATCCTGGAAACGAGAGAAACGAGAACAGTAATTAGGATTAACAGCCCACCTCATATGCACGAAAGAAGTGACTCTCAATTTATACTTACCAACAATGCCATAGCAAGATGTAACAAACTTAAGTCCTCCTGTAACCCTATTTCCTTCATGTATCCTTCTCAGTAAATCAGAGCATTCTATTTCTGTGTATGGGGTAGAATCTTCACGAACGTTAAGCTCACTCGGTTCTGTCCTATCAATTTTTAACACTTTCCAGTACGTTCTATTTTTGTCCCTTCCTACCATATAGAATTTCTGCAATCAAAAAATTGAAAGCTGTCAAATATAGAAGCATATGCATGCATAGACTAAAATTTATGTAAAAGAAGAAATGGATCCAGCGGATCCAATTGTTTCTCCATAATTATCAGATGTAAACCCCATTTATTTTGCAGGGCAAGTTGACAATCACAAACATAAAAGCGCTAATGAGAACACAAGAGCTTCGACTTTAGGAACTTCTAGCAGCGAACTTGTATAAAGGGCACCACAGATAAGAAAGAGAAGCCAGCCTACTCAACCAATAAATGTTAGGAACAAGTGATCCCTGGGCCTACCCAATGCAGATGTCCCTGAAGTAGGGCATTGGTTGATCGGAGAGCTCAGGTAAGAGTAGAACATTTTAATGCAATGAGTACGCCTCTCATTTTTCTAAGTGCTTAAGTACATTATTAATGCTGAAACTCGTAACTCATCACTCAAAGAATTTCGAGCACGTGGAAGATATGACATAATTTTTTACTAAGCTCCAGCAGACAGCAGCTGAGTAAGACAATTTTGAAAGCCAACACTCGCATGTAAACTTGTATATCTTCCACTAAACTGTCAAGATATATCCATCATTCTGTTGATCAAAATTTATTTCATTGAATGTACAGACGTATCAAAATCCAAATAATTCGGAATTACCTTAAGAAGGAAACATTACTAAATTGCTGCAAATTAATAAAGAAGGTGATATCAGCACAAATAAATCTACAGAAAGCCTTAAAACAGGAGAGTTTGTACACCGAAATTAGTACAAGAATCCAAACAAAGCACGCTGACTCATTGGAACTTAGACAGAAAATGGCTAACAAGTAAATACCGATCGTGTTTCATAGAGTCGGAATTTCTGCATAAATCCATCTGGAGGTGGCGAGATAAGAGGAGGAGGAGAAAGAAGTCGTGCTCCCTGAGGTTGTTGTGTCACATTTTCCAAAACATCAGCCATGATGATAATTTGACCAAGGGAGCCTCAGGGAATTAATCACTCCAACATCAAATTTGAATAGACCAATTTTTCACCTTTGTCCCCATTTCCTAACCCCAAATATTCTCTTAAAAATTAAAAATCAAAAACCTTCAAACTTTTTTCGATTTCCCTACCCGAGTTTTCCAAATCTTAAGCTAAATACATAAATTACAAAATAAAGAAGTTAACTTTCCATCAAATAATTGTGAAAACTTAGAATTAAACTCAATAATTAAAAAAAAAAATTGTATAATTGAACGAAACTTTATATACCAATGGGGATTGAAAGAGATATTGGAAATGGAAATGGAGAGAGATTTTGAACTACTGAGTTTAAAAATAAAAATTAATTTGATATAAACGATGATGATGACAATGATAAATTATAATGGCTGTGATGGAATGTTGCATATATCTAGAGAGAGAAACAGAGACCGCCTGGATCTGTCGAGGCAAAATAAAAACCACAACTTATGTGGTTGACGAAATATATAAAAAGTAGTAATGTTTTAGGAATTTTTCTTACAGCTTTATTTTCTATAATCGTAGTGGTAGTTTTACCATTGCACTCCCTAAAGCTAAAATCGATTCAAATTCGATGCATTTTGTATTCAAAAAATAAATGCAATTATTTTGTATACTAGAAGATATAACCTAAATGTTTTAAATTTAAAACAGTGATTGATGGTTTGTTGATATACATTTGTAAGTTATTTGTGTAATATCTATAAAAATAAACAAATACACGCCAATTGCTACTATAGAATTAATTAATTCTTAGCGTGCGTTTAGAATTTTTCAAATTGAAAAAAAAAATCAGAAAATTTCCAAGAACGAATTACGTAGGATACAATTCATGCCCATTTATGTATTAAAATTATATATATAACATAGGCACCAAGTATATTGCACTTTTTTTAAAAGATATTTTTTCTTTACCTTCACAAGAGTATTTATTATTGAATCGGTCCATATTTCTTTTTAATAGACATTTCTTGTTATTCAACTACACGAAACTTGTCAAAGTAAAAACATATAAACTCTAAATTTTGGTTGTTTAAACTTTTTCAAATGTTAAATGTCTAAATTATCCTTAATTAATACATTCTTCCATCTTATGTTCATCTTTTCTAACCCTACCTCCGCCATCCTTCTTTAATCCAAACTCTTCCTTTTAGGGCAAAAAATAGTACATTAAATTGGGATGGAAAAGACAATGGAGAGTGGAGAGGACTGGAGACAAGAAATCGGTGAGGCCTCGGCGAGTTTTTAGAGTTTAAAGAGGAAGGGTGTACAAAAGGAGGGGATGAGTACAAGCTCAGGGCCATAGGGAAGGAAAATGGAAAGGAGAAGCGAAGGAGAGGGAAATGTTGAAAAAGTAATGAAGAGAACGGACGGTTAAGAGGCACACTTGAGTTATCTAAGCAAAATCATGATACTGTACAAGGGAGATGATATTTACTCAAAGTCAAAAGTTACGAAAGTTGGTGAATTAATGACAAAGTAAACTAATGACGATGAATGACATGCAATTGAGATAAATGTCAATTTCCTAAATCCATGTATCATCACTTTAGAACAAAAAAGTTGGATAAATATATTTTTAATCCACACATTATATAAAATCCACAATTTTATATCCATGTATTTAATAGAATCCAAGTAGATAAGAAATCACAAGGACTACCAAACATCGAGCAAGTTTTACCAAGAAAATGTGCTATCTTATAAACTAGAAACCACAGATTGTTTGGTCCAAAATTCTCGTGACCATGAATCCTCAACTTATAAGTTAGATTAATTGAATTAGCTTATAAGTTAATTGTGTATGATTGGATCATACGTAATTTTTAAGCTAACACCTTTTTTTATATCAAACATGCTCATACGCTTAGAAGGAATTAATATATCGAGCAGTTAAATTCATTATATTGGCTAAATCAGTGGCGGTCAATGGCCGACAATTTACATTAATTCGAATTTTTTTATTAGTATTATGTAAGAAGGTCATGGGATTAAGATTTGTTTTGAGGAGGTCACGCGTCAACAGAAAGAGAAAATTAATTTAAAATAATAGAAATACATTACAATGGGCAATCATTGAGATTTCTTTATTTTGCCAATCAAATTGGGACAAATCAGGTACTTGAGTCCACGTCCAGAGTCTAGGCTTATTTGGTCATCTGATGATATAAGGTGATTGATATCTAATTTTATAAAAACTTAATTTTAAAATAGTAAATTGATGAAGAATGTGTATATAAAAAATAATAAAAGATTTTTTTATTTACGTGTAATATTATTTTAATAAAGACCGTGTTATCAAAAATAAGAAAAAAATGATGTATTTTGATAAAAATGAGAACCGAACGGAGCTTAAGAGGCAACTTTTTCAAAACTCTTGCATTTGACCATTATTATTTTGTTATTGGTAGTATTCAGTATTATGCAAGTAATTATATATATTTCTTATGAAAATTTCAAATTTAAGTCCCGTTTGGTATACTTTAATGTAAAAATGAGAATGAAAAGTATAGCCGTTAGGGGTTCCATACAAGAGATAGAAAGTGAAATATGGTAATTTGATGTAATGGACAACGATCATATTTTTTATTTTAATGGACAAATAATGTGAAACAAACGGGAGTTTAATGAGAAAGTACATCGTATACTTTTAAAAATCGATCTGAAGGTTAATTTTGGGGGGAGGAAGAGTACATGGTCAAGGCTCGAAAAGTTAAATTGGGACATTAAAATCCTAACTTTTTCATATTGTTTCTAATAAATCTTTTACTTTTTTTCATTGTATTCTTATTATTCATATTTTATTAATTAGCTCATCGTGATGACAGTTTCCATCTAAAAAAATCTATTAATAAGAAGTTTAAAAAAAAAAAATGAATGTGACTGCCTCTTACTTTTTCAAGTGAACAAAAAGGCAATAAATAAAAAATAAGTATCTAATGTTTTTCCATTTTAAAAACTTTAACAAAAATAGGAGTGGTCAAGGATCAAACTTGCAGTGACATGAATGGATGATTGGGGACAAAATATTGAGAAAAAAATGGAGATATAAGTTCAATAATAAGCAAAAAATATTGAGACTACTATAATTGGAAAATAAACAAAATAATACTGCAGAGATAATATAACTACAATTTTGCTTCATTTCAATTTTATATTATAATTGAAAAATAGAGTTAGACCTAAAAAATATATCAAAAAATGAAGTTGAATGTAAAACCCTTTATAAATATGAGGGAAAAACTTGTAAATTAAGTAAAATTAAACGTATAAAACATCTATAATTGGCTTAAACAATATAGAAAATCAAGAATCATGAGAATGGAATAACTTGATATAAAATGGGAAAGCCAAATAATCAAATCGAGTAGACTGAAACATGGTTGCAAGACTCAATCGTAACACGTGCAAAAGGCATAAAGATAGCTAAAGATGTAATAGGTGAGTATACGGTTGGTTGCATGATGAATAAATTAGTAACGATTGTTTAAAAAATAAAAATAAATAATAAAACACACACACACATTTCTATTACAACTAAAATTGAAGCAATTAGCTCATATTTGGTACAATTTAAAAAAGTCGATAAAAACTAAAATTAATTTTAACCACACAATTTATAGGATCACAGCTTTTATCTTTATTTAATCACACATTTCATTAACTTTTATCAAAATTATGTACAAGTAAAACTAATGAAAAAGTTAAAATCTTGTATGTCGTGGATATAGTACTGTCTTTTAGCCATAAACTGCAGAGTCCAAGCTAAATTATAAGGCAATAATACTTATTGAAAAGTGAACCTAAACTAGAGAGAGAATACAAGCGATTGGATGCATCAAAAGATTTGCTGGTTTTCTTGATTGTTATCCACTATATCAGCAATAGTGAGCTTCTCCTTGTTGAGGAAGAGATCTTGAAGCTTGTAAGGCCCGATCGAGGCCGAGGGACCATCCCAAAGAGCTTTAGCAAACTGTTCATGAATCTTTTCAGTTGGATGAAAAGAATCCCACCACACATACTCATCTGCATTTTCGCATAACTCGTACGTGGTTAATTTCTTCGTGCCTCCACATGTGAAAACTCCTCCATAAGGTCCCGTTCCACAACAAGCCCTCATTCCTTCTTTGAAACCTATATATGTCGAATTCCATAGAGAAAATAATTTTCATTAGCATAAAATATAACGTCCATTCATCTATGAGAAAGAGAGAGAGCAAGGGGTAATCCGATAAATATCTCTATCATGAAGACCATTTTAGTGAATAGAATGCAATGATTAATTGTATAAAATTTTCATCAGTTTGGAGGGACGATAGGTGATATATAGAATGGTGAAGTTTATGATATAAGCAATTGACTATGTTAAAACTGTAGGAAGACCTCAATATACAAGTCAAACAACAAACTAGAAATACATTTGTTATTGTTTCCACTCATCATATGTCCCCAACCAGAAAAAAAAGAAATGACGAACAATTCGATTTACTTGAGCTTAAAAGCTAGTATACCTACCGTATTTGGCGGGATTGTTCATTCGATCTTGAATCCAAATATAAAAATCTGAGTTGCAATACTTGAAATCTTTCAACAGGTTTTCAAGGTTTTTCAGGACAGTCTCGAGGGCATTGTTATGTGCCATTGCTAGAGCGTTGGCTTGTTCAAAACACCCTCCTTCATCAGCTTTAGGATTCATAGCTCTTAAAACAGGCAAGCAACCCAAAGGTGACAAGCTCAAAAACCCAAATTTCCTCGCGCCTTTCTCGTACAATTCCTGGATATCAAAGACACCATAATTATCATAAGAATGGTGCAGTCTAAGTATGAATTTTTACATAGGGCTATTTGATAGGACTTATACTTTTCATAGAAAAACAACTTGAGGAAATTAGTTTGGGCCAACTTTTTCTAAAAAAGACGAGAAACTTTAAAAAAATTATTCAACCATGTTCAAAAGCAATTTCTTATTTGCAAAAGCACTTTTTGACTTTTCAAAACCCCTACTAAAGGGGGTCATAGTTATTGCAAATAAAAACTTACTTGAATTGCCTTTGTCAAGTTTCCCATGACCATGCCTACATATTCTTCTGGTTGGTGGAGTTCTTGCATCTTGGGGTTACCAAAATACCCTCCCAGATAATCGTTACTTCCCATGCTAATGAAATAAACTGCATTTGATATTAGTTGTTCTGCATTTGTAGTTCCTAGTTTGTCCTTTAACAATTTTTGCACTTGTTTGAAGTAGTTTAATTGTGTCTCAAGATCAATGGCCTGTTGATTACTTCAAAAATAAGAACAAGAAATTTATATAGTTTTTAGTATATGATCAGTGATTAAAATTCCTCACCAAACCCTGATTTGTAGTTGAAAGGATGCCGGCTCCTCCAGAGGCAAAGTTAACTCCATGGCTATAATCAGCAGAGGGTTCCAAGTATGGAGGAATT